CTCTCAATCTCTACAATTCTTGAAAAACAAATCTTACAGAACGACTGTCCCTAAACCCATTCAGCCAGATGTAAATATTTTGTTTCAGAATTTTTTAACAAACGTTCAAGCATGGTTACAACCGCTGAAAGAAGATTGCCTCAGAAGTGTGAACACAGCAGTAACAGATCTTCTATGGGAAACTTTCAGAAGAACTTTGGTTGCTGAATCAAGGAAGTTACAGGATTTGTGCCACTCTAAGGTGCCAGATAACTTTTCCAAACTTCTGCATGTTTTCAAGACAGAAGCTGCTGATACTTGGAATAAGAAGTCTTCGCTACTGATTGCTGATACTCCAGCTGATAAGATGGACATATCAGAAGATGAATATGAAGAATACTCTGAAGATTCAAATCCTCTGGCTATTGTTCTATTGAATCAACCTTCAGTTAAGGATGGACCTGAACCTGTGCCAACTCTTGCGATGGACCTGGGCACTCTGCTCTCCACCTTTGTGAAATCTGATTCATCAGTTGCTGCTTCTGACCCTGTTTCTACTGAAGCTTCATCATCTTCTGCCCCTACCTCACTCATTATGGACACTCTGAAAGAGCTAAAGAGGGAGAATGAAGTCTTGAATAAACGCATGGATAAGCAAGATCAAACAAATCTAGAGTTCAAGAACTGGATGGTAATGCAAAGTGAATCTGCCTCTGAGATCAAGAATCTTCTGATGACTATTGTCTCTAAGAAATCCTAGTTTCTTTTCGTCTCTTATTTGGATGTTTTGTTTGTACTTCTAGATATATTTTTTTTAACTTTTTATGAAATCTTTCAAAATTTCTCATTTATTACACTTTTTGATTATGCCAAAAAGGGGGAGAAATGTGCATTTTTAAACTAATCACTGTTTAACAGTTATGGGACTATGTCTCAGACATTCTAACAAATTTGCAAGAATTCCTTCTGTGCAAAAGATTTTTTTTGCAGGTATCATTTAACTCTGAAAGAATATTCCAGCTAAGATTTATCTTCTGGAAGAAATTCTGAAGAAATTCAAGAAGGCTGTGTATCACTCTGACTAAATAATCTCAGGATGTCTTATGCATAGAAATATTCATTTCAGGGGGAGATTCTTATCTCTTAATCTGTTTCTTTTCTTTATCTAAAATAATTTTTTGTCATCATCAAAAAGGGGGAGATTGAAAGAACAAGATTAGTTCTGACCTATCTCAAGTGTTTTGATGATAACTAAATTATATTTAAGATAATTTATGCTCTAATGAATGTGTTTTGAATGTCTTAGTTAATGTTCTGACAAGAAGCATTCCAAAGTACTAAGCAAAGATTATGAAGAAGTTCTTTGATAAAAGAAACTTTTTATTCAAACGCATCTGCTGACTCTGGTAAGAACATTCATTTGTTAAATGTATCTTCTAAACTTCTAGCAGGCTTCTTGATTCTGAAGACAACTTGAAAGCAAGCGTTGTTCAAATTTCTTAGCAAGCAACGCTCTGACCAAAAGTTGAATGAAGCATGTTCTGAGTTAAAGCAACAACGTCTTAATCAACCTGTCTTGTCAAAGCAAAGGAAACACGTTCTTACATTCTGACGTTTGCTAATTAATGCAAAGACGGCTGAAAGCACTCAAGTGCCTACAACTAGTTTCTTGGAGAATGGAATTTTGCAAGGATACACGCAAAGCATTTAATGCTCTCCATTTCCTCAGAAGGCATCAACGGTCTTATTATTCCTACTATAAGTAGAAGGACATTTATTGCAAGCCAATAACAACGTTCAAACAAAGAAACTACGTGAAAGATTCAAAAGCTCAAAAACTCATAGTTCATACAATTTTGTGTATTATATTCTAAGTGAAAAATCACAGTTGTGATATAGCTTGATTAGAAGCAAACTCTATTTCAATTATCTGTAAAGATTATACTTCTATATTTGTTCCTTGAGATACCAAGTTTGGTAAGATTTCTCAAGAAGACTAGGACTAGATTTAAGTCTTAGTGTGGTTAGTCACCTGTAAGATTACTTGTGCATTGTTAGTCACAACAGTTGTTGTGTGATTGTAATCAATTGATTATAGTGGATTAAGTCCTTGTTGAGAAAGGCGAAATCACCTTGGCGGGTGGACTGGAGTAGTTTGAGTTCAAACGAACCAGGATAAAAATAACTGTGTTATTCCATTATTGTTTGAGCTTTGTATTGAAAATGAAAAGAGTCAGTTATTCAACCCCCCCTTCTAAGTGTTTTCTTACCCCTTCAGCACTTTCTTGCTCCAAGTATGGGGTTGATGAAGAATAGAGTTCCTTAACCCCGTCAACGACCATCCGTTCATGTTCCCCTATGCAACAAAGTAAATTTATAGCGTAAATAATTTATTATTTCTCTCTTCGCTAAATAAATGTACATAATTAATTTTTTTCATTCCTTTAGATATTGTGTAAGGCGTATGGATTACAACAAGAATCCAAGATAAAATGTTGCTCTATATCGTAATCTTTTGGATCACCTTGGCCTAAATGATGTACGTAGTACCTCTAAAATTTTCTTATTTTAACTTATTTATTTTTTAAATTATCATTATTGTAATTTAATTTCATCCACAATTTATCTGGAGACTATATTTGGGATTTGACCATGAACCCAACCCAGAGGATGCAAGAGTTTGGACTGCAAAGACTGCAATCACGCGGTTCAATATTGTGAAAATGCACCAAAGCGACCGTGTCAAGATGCAGTTCGAATGCATCAAGAAATACCACGCGATCCAACTTGTTTGTTACCTTGGCATCTCAAAAGGGTCGACACCCAATGAGGTGTTAATAATTGGAAAGATTTCACTCCAGAATGATGCAAGATGTGGCATAGGCATCACCAATATGTCTTACAATTCCCTGCTTTCCTCACCCAGTATAATATGCAACACACAGATCAATATTTTGATTAGTACAAGTCGGTTATTAACCCTGAAATATTTGTGTCTGCCCGAGGTATTTGATCGACCCACAAACACAATGGACATAGTCATCAAATCCCCAACAATACTACCAATAATCATACACCACCCAACAACAACTCCAACAACAAACCCAACACACATCAACCTCCCACCAAACATCACGACGATACAAATCAACAAACACCCAACCCCAATCACAACCTGGATCCCAATACACCCATTTGACTCACACTCAATCATAGTACCAAGAACACCAACCGTACATCCTTCATCCCGATGTGGGCCCCTCATCATCTCACCTTAGCCCAGACTTTGACCTACTTGAAGAATATCATCCATCACATCACCGTAGCACCCAACAATCACAGTACCAAACTACACAAGATTCATTTCATTTTTACCTCCTTATTCATACGACCAGTACTATCAACCACCTATAGAACCTCACCCCCACAAATACGACCAAATTTTGAGGGCATGAGTAACCGACTGTTTGAAAGCGGGTCTTTCAGATATGTTGATCTGACGAATTTCATGGATCTTGAACGCATTGACTTCGCAGAGACCTCGACCCAACCGCAACGCGATAATCGTCGAAACCCACCATGAATTAGGCGAGGACGCGGGTGCGGAACAACGGATCGTTATTGAGTCTCGGGCGACAAATAAATAATATGTAATTTTTATTCTCATTATGTAATTGTTTAATTATTATTGAAAATTGAACTTTCATTTCCGACGAAATAGTCTTTTCTTTTTTTAATAAAAAAAAACATCTTGCACCTAGGCGCCATCTGAGATGTTAGGGCAAATCAGATGCACCTAGGTGCCATCTCATTTGACGTCTCCTTTAAAAAGATCAATGCATGCGCCATCTCACTTGGCTACTGCATGTATACGTTTCCTGAAACATGATTGTTTGCGTAATTTTCTCCAAAACATGATTATTTGTGTATTTTTTTCAATATCTAATTATTGTAAAAAAATTCTCAAGTTTAGGGAATTGTTTGTTTTAGCTTTAAAAAAATAGATTTTTTCTTTTGATTTTTGAAAATGGATTTTTGAAAATCCTTTTTAAAAATATTACAAATTTATTTATATTCTTTTTTTCTAAACTAAAAAGTTAATTTTGACATCCAATAACATAATTGTTAAAAAAGATTGAAGGAGATTTTCTAACAATTGATCATCATAGCAATCAGGATGATTCATATTCAATAGTCAAAATGTGAGTTGTCTCAAAGGTCTCCTCATAACTCTTAAAATTGATCTTATTCCTTTTAACTCCTCATAACTCTTAAAATTGATCTTATTCATTTTAATTCTTAAGGACACTCTGAAGTGAGCATGTCTCCTCATAACTTTTAAAATTGATAGAAACTCACACATGCAATTGAAGAAGATAAAGTTCAAGAATTTAAAGTTTTTTTTAAAACTCGACTAAAATTGAGGAAAATAGGAGTAACTACAAAAGATCTCATAATTTCTTCTTATTAAAAGGTTTTCGGCTATTAACTCACAATTTGGAATGACTTTGATGGAAGGAATTGAAAGCTTAAAGTTTGAATGAAAATAGTCAAATCCTGTGTTCAGCAATTCTTTCAATATATAGGAGATTGATTGGGAAGGTGTATTTTGTCCACCATACAAAGCCTTAAAAAGGATAACTACATAAGTTTCAATCAAAAGAAATGGAATCGAATACACGCACATACGTTAACAAACTAGACACAATGAAGAAGGTGAGAAAGAGGCAATACAATCATGGAGAAAGTAGTGAGGTCTCAAAATCACAGTTCTTCGTGAATCACACACATTGATGGAACATAGAACTTTAAAGGTTAGACTGGATCAGTGAATGGTCCAGAATTCTTATCTGTAGCTTAAATTATAATCGCTGCAATTTCACAGCAACCATATACACTATTTTTGTTCACAGTAACAACTAACTTACACATAATTTTCTTATTACAATTTTGCATAGGCTGATAGAATCTTACCCCCTCAAGAAGGATCATCTTTTTCCTTCAAAATGAATCTTACCCCCTCAAGAAGGATCATCTTTTTCCTTCAAAATCGACGCCTTTTGGTATCTCAATTTATCGATTTCCTTTACTAGATAATCTAAAGTCGTGTCAGTAACATGGTTAGGAGTGCATCCAGCATCGAGCATCATTTTTAAGAACTTGTAAGCCTCTTTAACTCGGCCAGCCTTGCTGTGAATTTCAATCAAAGTATTATAAGTTACAACATCCGGATTTATCCCGCTGCTCTTCATTTGCTCAAAGAACTTGTTCACCTCATCGATTCGCCCTGCCTTCCCCAAAGCATTAATGAGAGTGTTATACATAACTATGTCGAGATAACCACCCTGTTTCAGCAGTCGATCGAGAACAGTGCTGGCTAGATCTGCTCTTCCCATCTTTCCTAAACCTTGGATTATCATATTGTACGTAGCGATATCAGTTGGGCAGAGCTTTTCTCCCATTTCCGATAGAATGGCCCAAGCCTCGTTAAAATAGCCTTTTTTGACAAATGAGCTCATGATGGAATTATAAGTATAACTGACAGGATCCACACCCGCGTCGGTGAAAATCTCAAACAATTTACAAGCCAAGCTCAACTTTCCCTTGGCCAAAAATATAGACAGGAAAGTATTCACCATATCAACATCAAAAGAATCAGACCCTTTTTGTTGAACTCTCTGTCCACGGTCGGGAGTAAACAGTCGCGGAGCATTGCCAGTTGACTTCACAACACGCTTGGCCAATTTATCCATGTATGGAGATGATGACCACTCGTCGATTTCTTCAGAGGAAGTTTCCACCTCATCATCATCATCATCATCATCATCCCCGGGATGAGTTATGAAACTCATGATCTCACTAAACCCTCCTTTAGAAGGGAACATTGACGAATAATCTTTTTCCTTGGAATGCAAGTTATTGATAGACGCTTCCATTCCAGCCTTCCACCTAAGAACACCGGGTAACAGATCCCCTTCCCTAACATGTTTGATGAGCCTATCTGTCCAATCCCAACGACCGTGCTTATGAATGCCAACCAAGAGAGACGTTATCGTAACAAGGTCAACCGAAAAGCCTCTAGCTTCCATTTCCTCCACCAACTCCAAAGCCTCTTCCAAGTGACCCTCTTTACAAAGCTGCAGCACAACAATGCTATAACTAATCCCATCCACAAACTGACCTTTCTTTTTCAGATCACAAAAAAGCGTATAACCAGCTTCCGATCTCCCATTCCTCATAAGCCCATGAATCAGAATATTATAACTCCAACAAGAAGCTTTCACCCCTTCTCGAGTCATTCTCTCAAACATCTCGCACGCTTCATTAACCTTCCCCGCCTTAAAAAACCCATCCAAAACACAATTATACACAATCACCCCAGGACGAAACCCATTATCCTTCATCTCATTAAAAATCCTCACACCCTCATCCATTCTACAACTCCTACAACAACCCCGAACAAGAGTCCTGTAAGTAAACTCGTCCGGTTCATAACCACACCCTTTAAGCTCCTCCCACACAACAATCGCATCATCAATCTTCCCAATCTTACAAAGAACAGACAAAACCGTATTATAAGTACACATATCAGGCCCAAACAGATTCTTATCCTCCTTCATCTCATTAAAAAGCTTCATCGAAGTAACCAAATCACCCCAAGAACCAAAAGCATGAATACAAATATTATACCCCCACGAATCAAAATCAAAACTTTCCCTTTCCCTCAAAGTATCAAACACATTTCGAAAGTCTTTCATCATCCGGGCTTTCCTAAGAGCCGAAAGCAAGTAATTCGAAGAACCAACAATAATGGAATCCGAACAGTCCTCAGCCGATAAAAGACTATTGAAAACAGATAAAGCGAGATGAATTTGATTGTTTTTGAGTGAAGCAATAAGAAGAGAGTTATAAATAAAAGGTGTAGTACCTAAAGGATGAAGCTTTTGTGACTGGATATAATCCAATATATCAATAACAAAGTGGAAATTAGTATTGTTGTTGTGAGAGAATTTGATGAGGAAAGAGAGGAGATTGTTGAATGAGGCGGAATTAAAGGCGATACCGGCTTGTTTCATGGAGTGGAGGAGATGAGGGAGGTGTTGGTGGAGGAGGGGAAGAGGGGTGGTGAGTTTGCAGAGGTTGTGGAGGATGAGGGAATAGGTGGTTTGAGAATGAGGGGTGTGGTGGGAGTTGAAGAGATTGAGTTTGTGGGAAATGTGGAGTGATGGGTTAGAGAGGATTTTGAGGAGGAGGGGTGTGGTGGTGGTGGTGGTGGTGGTGATTTGGGGGGTTTTGGTGATGGATGCTACTGTGAGGAGTTCTGAAACTTGTTTTAGGGTTGAAAGTTGAGATTTTGAGGGGGTTTTCATTATTCTTGTTTGGATCATCACTTTTTTCTTACTTGTTCATTATGGAAGTGATTATGGCATTGGAATCAAACTTTGATGAGTTTTCTCGGAACCTTCATTTTTTGTTTGGATAATAGCTCAAAATTGTCAAAAAAATCCATCTTATTTTATTCTATTGTATGATAAAATATTGAAGCTATAATTCACCAATTTGGGTGTAGAAACTCATAAAGATATATAAAAATTTTGTATATTTTCTGTGTGTATATTTCGTACAAGCAAGGGTGCTCCTATTTATATTATAGGATTGAGGACAAATAAAGAAAGAAAATAAATACACATAAAAGCTAATTAGTCCTAATATAATTATAATATATATTACAATAATGAGAGAATCACAACATATCGTAACATCGCCCCTCAAACTCAAATAGGTGGACCAGTAACCAACTTGAGTTTGGATACTAAAGTGCGGAAGCGACCAAGAGAATAAGGTTTTGTGAATAAATCAGCCGGTTGGTCAAGAGTTCCAATGGAGATAAGATGTTCACCACAGCGAAGATGCTGACGAATAAAGTGACAATCAATTTCAATATATTTTGTTCGCTCGTGGAAAAGTCATTATGGGTAATTTGAATGGCATTGCGATTGTCACAATATAGATTAGTTGGTGAAGACTGTGACGTCTCTAAATCCGCAAGAAGCTAATGAAGCCACAATATCTCAAAAGTAGTATCAACAAGAGCACGATATTCAGATTCAATGCTAGAGCGGGCTGTCAAAGTTTATTTCTTGCTCCGCCAAGATATAAGAGAATCTCCAAGAAAAATACAAAAAACAATGGTGGAACGACGATCACTCGGATCACCGGCCCAGTCGACATTAGAGTATGCTCTAAGAATCAATGAAGATGTAGTTGAGTAATGAAGACCATAAAATAAGGTACCCTTGATATACCGAATAATCTGAAGGACAACAGCATAATGTGTGGTACATGGAGAAGCCATGAATTTGCTAACAAGATGAACATCATATGAAATAACCGGCCGAGTAACTATGAGGTATATCAGACTACCTACGAGCTGCCGATAAAGAACGGGATCGTCAAGCAAAGTACCATCTTGAGGAGTAAATCGAATATTAGGTTCAAGAGGAGTGTGTTCAATTTTATAATCAGTGAGACCTGCTCGAGAAACAAGATCAGAAGCATACTTAGTCTGTGACAGAACTAAGCCATCACTTAAAGATAATACTTCAAGCCCTAGAAAGTAACTTAATGGGCCAAGATCCTTCATCTCAAAATGTTTACACAAGAACTTTTTGAGCTCTTCAATTCCCATGGGAGTCATCGCCGGTGATAATCATGTCATAAAAAAAAAGAAGTAATACAACAGTGCCATTGTGATTTTTCCGAGTAAAAAAGAGCAGACTCATGAGCAATGAAATAGAAATTCAATTGGGTGATAGTTCTGTGACATTTAGAAAACCAAGCTCTAGGTGCTTGTTTAAGACCATAAAGAGCCTTACGAAGGCGACAAACTTTATTTTCTTGACAAGTATATCCTGAAGGGAGACGCATGTAAACCTTTTCTTCTAACTCTTCATTGAGGAATGCCTTTTTAACATCCATTTGAGTGAGTTTCCATTGGCAAGTGGAAGCAATAACAAGAAGAGTTCGAACAGAGGTGATGCATGCAACAGGGGCAAATGTTTCCTCATAATCAATGCCATACTCTTGAGTGAACCCTTTTGCTACGAGACGAGCTCTGTAACGCTCGATAGATCCACCAGAAAGAGTTTTTATTTTATAAACCCACTTGCATCCTACAAGCACTATGCCAAAAATTAAAAATAACAGTGCATCATAAACATCGTTCATTTCATGAAGCGCTGCTATAAGTTAAAAAATTAAAAATATAAGCTAAATTAATAAAAAGCGTTGCTAAAGGGCATAAAAAAGAAAGCACTTTTTTTGAAAGCGCTGCTATAGGGCATACATACGAAAACACTTTCTGAAAGCGCCGCTATAGGGCACAGATAAGAAAGTTCTTTCTGAAAGTGCTGCTAAAGGTAGCACCATAGACAACGCTTTTTCCCAAAGTGTTGCTATAAGTTTAAAAAAAATTAAAACATTGAAAAAAGCGCTGCTAAAGGCTGACTTTAGAATGCGCTTCTGAAAATTGCTCGTTGTACCCCAAAATTTGCCCTCTCACTTATCTAATATTTTCTCACAAAGATCTCTCTTGGTTCAAAACTACACTAGGGTTGATCAACTCAAGACACCTCCCTAAGCACTGATGACCAAAATTAGGGTTTGGGATTGCACAAGGATAATTGAACTTCCAATGCCTCATATGATTTTCATGGATCATTATGAACCCCCAATATTACTCATGTCAAGTTTCAAGCCTTGGATCACATTTTTGCTCAGTCAATTGAGCAGTTGACCTAAAAATCAGTTGTATTGAGGAAAAAGTCAACAGTGGCCAATTTACAGTAAAATTTCATAATTTTTGATCCACATAAATATTATAAACTCATATGTATCATTTGATCAAGTTTGGACCATAATTCCTCAAGAATTATGATCAAATCATCAAAAGGGCAAAATGGTCAAAATTAGGGTTTTGACTGAGGAAAGGCAATTTCTGATTTTTGACCTAGAAAATGGTCAATTGGTTTGAAGCATGATCTCAAGAGTTCAATTGCATCATTTTTACCTAATGACATGACCCAGAACATTGCTCAAGATCAATTGGATTGATAGTGAATTTTCAGTCAACTGATCAAAAGTCAACTGTACACTAAAAAGTCAAACTTTGACTTTTTGGTCATAATCCAATGTTAAAGATCACAATTCACCAAAACATGTCAAAATATGAAACTTATTCATCAAGAAATCAAAAAGTCAAGATTTCATTTTGAAAAGTCAAAGTTTTCTAATAGAAATTTTTCTAAGTGTTTAAAACTTCATGTTTTTTCACAACTTTGAGCAAACTTTTCACCATGATGCAAGATGATTCAAAAGAAACTTTCAACATGAAAGTTGTAGATCTCCATGATATCTACAACATTACTTTACACAACTTCTCCTAAAAATGCTTGGATCTCAAGTTATTAATTCATGAAGTCATAGTCTTGAAACTAAACACTTAGTGAAATTTTGCCCTAGTTTAGGCAAGATTTTGACCTAACTTCATGGCACTTTTTCATATAGTTCCAAGGGGAATTTTCAAAAGTGATTCAAATAGGGTTTGTAGAGAACATTACAAGATTTCCAAAATGTCCAAGAACTCCTTGAGATCATTCTTCAGCAGGGAGATTCGAAGAGAGGAAGTTAGGGTTTTCAAACTTGAATTACAAGTCATTTTTTGATGAACACATGAACCAAATCCATGCTAGGCTGCATAATCTTTGCTTTGCAGGCCTCAAAATTGTTTGTCACTCCATAATTAAATGTTTAGACAGCTGTTAGAGCTTTGATCCAAGCAATTGAGCTATTATCCAAGTTGTATTTCCATTAATGGCACAAAGTTAACATTGTCATTCTTGTAAAGCAAGCTTTTTGCATAAAGTCCATTCTTGAGCCTCTAACTTGTTCCCTCTGATCACACTCCATCCACAAAGTCAGAAGCAAGCTTGTTTAAAGCATAAACACTCTATCTTAGCAAGTACATAAGACTTTGAAACTTGAATTTCTCAAAAAATCACATGTTATGCATAAACTTGTGATTTTGAATTTTGATCAACAAGAAGTCTCCAAACTTCTTGCTTATAAATGGAGTTACTATTTGTGAGCTAAGACACGAGTTTTAGCACCCTGAAACACTCCCAAATTCCCTCTAGCCAGAAATTGCACAAAAAACTCCATTGATACACAGTTCTGACCTTAAACTTGTATCTCTCATTTCCCTCGTGCGTTGTCCCTCAAATTCATTCCTAAAGCTTCCTTACATCAAATATAGTCCATCCCTATCCTTGGTTTGAAACTGTAACTCCATCTCCATCATCCTCCATAATCAAAAATAGAGGTCTGCAACTTGACTTCTCCAGACCATTCTAGCCATCCATTGCTCAAGCAAACCATTGCATTAGCTTCCCGGGGACTTGAGGAAGCTAGCATGATCATCAGTACTTCCTGAAACAAGCTCAAATCCATTTCACGATTTCTAGTTTTGAGGTATTTTTCTTGAACTTCTATCTTCATATTTAGGCATTGTTAGGCTTGCATTTGTGAAGATAAAATGTAGACATCATTGCCCTGAAACTATACATGTCCATAGATTTCATTTATTTTGATTGAGTTAGGAGAATTTTGAGTTTGAACTTTCTGAAATATTTAGGTCAAAATTTGGTACTTTTAGAAATTCTCATTGATCTTTGATTTATAGCTTATGATATTTATATGGTTGGATTCGTGTGACAAAATGGAGCAATTTTCATGTTTACATTTTTGCAAATGGTTGAGAAATGAGCAAGTTACAGATCCTTTGGCTGGAGGTTGAAGATTAAGTGTAATCAGGGCGCGTTTTGTGTTATGTATTTATAATTTCACACAAGTTAACGAATGTATCACCACTCCAGTGGTTAAAGCGCACGTCTATCACCCTTAGGTCCTAGGTTCAAGCCCTAGCGTGACCTTTTGAATTTTTTTCACTATTTTTGACATTTTTGAGCTTTTTTTGCAGCGTCTGGGCTTCCATTTGGGCTTTTTGTTTTTTTTTCTT